AAAAATGATCTAGAAAGCCTAACACCGACGACTTTGTTAATCGCAGAAAATTGTATAAACCAATGTAACATAGAACAGAGAAGACCCTAGAAACTTCTTCCGCTTTTCATGAACTTTATCTGTTGTAGGTCCCTTGCTACAAAGCAAGATATGCCGAAACTTCTTACATGCTTCTAATAGTAATAGAACAGAGAAAGCCCTAGAAATTTCTTCCGCTTTTCAAGAATTTATCTATTGTGGGTCCCTTGCTACARAGCAAGATATGCCCAAACTTCTTATTTGCTTCAAGAGTTCATTTCAAGAGATTTCTCTGAAAGACCATCGTTGATTGGCTTGAGTGGATGGTCCTGGTAATTCAAGTTCAATCCTTGCAAAATTGAGGAAGAATGCATTGGTGCCATTAGGAATGTTGATTGGGTTTGTTTCCCAAACCTATCTCGCACTCGATGGAAATTTACCCTTTAATCAATTCCCAAATTCAAGTTCATTTCATAAGGGTAGTTTCAGAAATTTACCCTTTAATCAATTCCCAAATTTAAGAGAAACCTAAATTGACAGACCCAAGAAAAAGGAAAAGTACTTACTGACAAGAAGAACATAATCTCCGCCCAAGACTTGCGTCTCCATAGCCATTCTATTAAGAAGAATGCCTTCGTCATTGTCTGGATGGACTCCCAGAACTCGTGCTCCACCAGCATGGAACGAAATGCTCAGCCTCTCATTGCCCAATTCCACCAAGTTTATTACGACCAAAGGTGCAATGTAACTCATTTCAAAATTAGAACGGGAATAACCACCAACATTCTGGTCTTGGATTTCATCGGAGATTGTATGTCCACTTTCTACCTCCACTTGTTATCAATTAAGGGAGCCTGACGGGAATGTGGCATTCCTGAATCAATGCATGATACCTCAGCACCATGTAGGTAATGACTTCAGATACATCTCAAACAAACCTCATATGTCTTGACTATCCTGGTATCACCTTGGTAGGGCCGATCTGTGGATACCTCGACGGGGTTAGGTCGGCGATCTCAGGACTAAGGTAGCGACCTCGGCATGAGGGGCAATCTCTTGTTGCTGACCTAACTAAGGCCCGATCGGCGACCCGCATGACGTGGTGGCTTACCTCCATTACGTAAGGGCTATTGTCTCTGAATCCTCTAGGATCACATCACCTCATTGATGGAGGTGACTCCTGCCCTGCTTGCTTCAAAGGCAACTAGATAAGCTCTATCACTTTACGCGGAAGTCATCTCTAAGTGTGAAACCACCTTTGAATGAGGCAGACATGTAAGTCACGTCATTTTGGAGATCTCGGACGCGCTACATGAAGTTCATGGCAACTTGTGCCTATATAAAGGCGTCCCATTGATCAGAGAAGGTATACATGATTTAGCTCTTTGAATCCTCTAGCTATCTTGTGTTCTTGCATTCACAAAGCTCTTTGCTAATTTAAGCATTTGAGTGCCCACCCCAGGTAAAACATCCCAAGTACTCTGATTACTACCTTCTTGCAGTTCGGCCAACTGACCTTGACAGCCAAACGTTCAAACTGTCTTCCAACAGGGAGCACTAGATCGTGCTCTATCAGTAACAATATCATCAATTTATCCCTCGGGGTGGTAGTACCATAGTGGTACAATCTTTGTCCCTCTCCAATGCCACCATTATTCGGAACAGGACTACTTGAGGCAGTTGAGAAGAGGCCTWGTGGGATTGCTATTGGAATTTCGGTGGTTTACTGATGTTGGCCGGTGTAGGGTTGCTGTGGATGGGATGGGTTGGATTCAACGGTGGAACTTCAGGGCTGCACAGATGCAAAGAGAGGTGACCATGATGAACCAAACCTCCTTTGATAAATCGATGACACCATCCCCTTCTGGAACAGTTTTATTGTCACCGAAAAGGCGGGGGTCACTGAAAAAGCTACTCCAATGGTAACACCATCCTACAACAGTTTTTCTGTCCCACAAGGGTGTTGCCCAATGATAGTAATTCTGTTGATAAATCAGTAACCCCAACACCTGAAAAGGTTTTAACGATAAATGAATACTAGTAACAAAAATGGTATTACTGTCATTTTCTCAAAATATAACAGTCACGTGGTGTGGTATGTGAGTAGATTGTGATGCAACCCTAACGATAAGGGAGTAATTAGTCAATTGTCCGAAAATTTGGAAGTACTTTCAGACAATATATAAACTGTAAGGGTAGAGTTAGTCAATTAAGTAAACATAGTTTAAGACCAAATCAAACTTAACTAATTTGAATTTGATTCAATTTGGTTTAGTTTTAAGTCTAATTTATTTCGATTCATTTCATAAAAATGACTTAATCAAAATATTGGCTAGGCTCAATTTGGAAGGAATACAAATATAAATATGTAGAGTTACAAACCTTGCATTTTACATTATTTTATATGTATTTGCACTACACATTTTTTAATTCATACTCTTTCCAAGCTGAGCCTTAGGTTCTATTTCCCAACCAATAGAATGAACACCCCCTATGTTTATACATTGTCTTAAAGTATCCCAATTTTTTTTTGACAATTGACTAATTACTTCCGTATCATCTTTGAAACCTTTTCCGGTGCCATAGTATTTTCAGTAGCTCTCTCTCAACAGATGTGGGAGTTGATGGGGCAGCAGTCATGCCGAGAAATCATTGCTTCTTCACCGGCTCCTTGCATTTAGCGTGAAACAAGGGCGAAAACAGGGGAAGATATTCGCTAATGACGACCATTCTGTCTGCAACTCTGCAACTCAAACGAGAATCGGGTGTTAATGTAAAAGAAACATTGGGCACAAAAAGCCCTCATCTCTTTTCTTCCTCATCCCACTGCTGCACAGACAATCGACCAAAATGAGTCATTGGCAATAACTTTCTTCTTCTTTGCTTGTCGACGCACTGACTGGAACCGTTGCCATTTTGAAGAATTTGAGCCAAAGTTCAGCATGAAAATAGCAATCAACGCACTGAAAATAGCCGGAAGTTCTTCTTTTCTTCTTCCGTCATATCGTCACACAAACGTAGTTCAGCCTCCTTGTTCCTGTTTCCCCCCTTCTCTAACGTTTACTTTTTTTTTGCAAGTTAGGTCGATCTCCTCCTTTATTCAACTCTCTTAGCCAAACCCCTTTCCAAAAGATAAACCTTATGCTTTGTTTTCTGGTTATTTGTTCCCTGAAATAAAAAATCTAATGACATGAGTACGTTGCAATTTTTCATTTTAGTCCGCTTCCATTCCTGATCAAAAGAGAAAATTTTTCATTTTAGTTTGTTTCCCTCATCGGTTGCACCTGGATGCTTATGACTTTGGTAGATAACTTAGAGAGAGGTTGAATTTGTTGTTGCTGCTGCTGCTTGGAATTCGGAAAATTGACGGTGGTGACGGAGGCAGAGAAAGAAAACGAAGACAAAGGCAGAGACCGAAAAGGGAGAGATGGAAACGGAAACAGAAATGGAGAAGGAGCAATATTTATTTATTTTTTGATCAATAATACTTTCATTAATTCATCAAAATAAAAGAAGAAAAACACACTTATCTTCCAAGAGTAATAAAGAATCTTAAAAAAAGAAAAGAGAAAAAAGAAAGAAAACACAGTTACAGTTTAGCCCMAAAAAGTGAATCCCTTTCTGCCCCTTGTTTATCTAAACCGTTAGTTAGGGAATTAGCCGATCTTTTAATTCAAAAGTATCTTAACTTCCATCTCCCGCACCAGCCACTTGAAAACGATATGCTTCATATTTTTTTGAAGATTTTCATGAATTTGGGTTTTATTTTGAAAATTTGAGACATAGTAAAAGGCAAACTCGACATTTTGTTTTTTCAGTAACAATGATGTCAATTGTAAGAAACATTAGGGATACCCATGTAGGAGCTATGCCAACGACACGAGTACACGTGGCGGAGCACAGTGTGCAGAGTGGACCCAATGGGGGTGTGTATAGAGCGAGCAGAGGCCGATGCGCGATGTGGGGCCAATAGTGTGGCCACACGCTTGAGATTGGATTGCATCCTGGCCGTCCGCATCCACCTACCTCCAGGCGGTCCTGAGTATAAATAGGGGGTGACCCCCAAGGTGAGCATCTGGATTCTTCACAGCTAAGAACTGCCTTGCTTCCTTTGTGGCCTCATCTGAATCTACCTACCTTAGGCTTCGGCCACATCTGATTTCACCTGTACTAACTTGATCGTCGGAGTATTCGCCTTGGGTTAGTACTCGGGGCCTCTGAAATTCTCTCTTCCTCCTCAGGTTTGACCTTTCAGCCCTCAGCCTCAGTAGACTTCGGACACATTGATCAGCCCTCAGCTCCAAAACAAATTTACCTTATTGCCCCCGACCCATCCTATGTAGCAACAAATACTTTAACACAATTTATAAACAGTAAGAGTAAAATTAGTCAATTAGCTAAACCATAAGAATAGTTTAAGATTTTTACCCTAAGTTCTTTTCAACTTTCGAGCCCAGATTGAAGCAACCTTAATTATGAAAGAAAGTTGTGATGTTCTAAGTTTGGATCCAAATTAGGTAGGCATAACATGAGCATCTAAGAAATTTTTTTTTACACCCCCATAAAATACCACCAGCCTACCCTTAGACTTTTGACGGTTGTTAGATTATTTATCAAGTACGCATTGAATGTATTTACTATAGGGATAAGTAGACTGTACAATTGTGCCATCTAGATGTCTAGATTCGGTCGGTCACTAACGAGTAATAACGGTGTTTCATATTTCTTTTGAGGTTGCGTTTGATTGCAATGCAAGTGCAAATATATACATTACATATTTATCCATTTTTTGTTCATAAATGCAAACACAGTTCACATTTTAAACAGCTTTTTTATTTATCTTGTTTGCTTGAAACGATGCAAAAGTGTGCATCCATTATTAAATGCTCCAACTATCCTCCAATACATTATCTTTGGTCAAAAGGTTAATTATCAAAAAACAGAAGATTTATCCAAAAAATGTTAGAAATACATTTTTACTCTGATAATAATAGTATTTTACGTTATAAACAAATGCTCGCAAATGTGAAACGAGTACATAATTCGGCGTTTGTATCGCCAAAAAGGAGCCTGAATACCAAAAAAAAAAAAAAAAATTCTTTTTCTGCGCGACATGAGATTTTAAGTTTTCAACCGTACTTATACTCCTTTTTGCCGCCATGAGATGAATCACGGTCTCTCACTTCTGGTAGATAGCTGCCGAAGTATCAGATCAATAAAATCTGTCCATGCCCGTCTTCTGATAGATGGCTCGCTCTATTCGTCTGAGCTCCTTCTCAACAAAGTCCTCAGGGCCTATTCGCGCCTAGGAGACATAGAATACGCTTGTAAACTTTTCGACGGAATTCCACGACCAAATGCTTTTCTATGGACAGCCTTGATTCATGGCCATGTAGAAAATCGTCAATATAATGAAGCTTTGGGGGTTTTCCGTCGTATGCTGAGTAAGTCCGTACCACCCTTGAACTTCACTATTGCGTCCGTCCTCAAGGCTTTGTCTCGGCGAACAAGATTGAAGGATGGGGCGGTCATTCATGGGTTCGTCTTGAAATCCGGTCTGGATTCTGATCTCACCGTACAGAACTCCGTACTCGACTTTTTCTCGAGATGCGGGGAAGTAGATATCGCAAGAAGGCTATTTGATGGGATGGTCCACAGGGATATTGTTTCGTGGAATTCTATGATCAATGGCCATGTAAATAATTGCAGGATTAATGCTGCACAARAATTATTTGACAGAATGCCAGAGAGAAATGTGATTTCATGGACAACCATGATCTGTGGGTATGTAAAACTTGGCAACATGGCGGAGGCACAGGCTGTTTTTGATAGAATGCCTGTCCGGGACTTAGCCTCATGGAATTTAATGCTTTCTGGATACGTGGATGTTGGTGACATCATGACCGCGTATCGTGTTTTTGAACAAATGCCAAATTGGGATACTGGTTCTTGGAATCTGATGATMTCTGGATTCTGCAAAGCAGGGGAACTTGAATCTGCAAGAGACTTTTTCAATAGAATGCCAAAGAGAAACATCACATCATGGGCCATGATGATTGATGGCTATGCTAAAATGGGTGATATTGATAGTGCAAGGTGTTTGTTTGATCAAATGCCAGAGAGGAACCTGGTGTCTTGGTCCACCATGATTGCTGGTTATGTTAAAAATGGGCATCCACGTCAAGCGCTGGAGTTGTTTGAACAGTTTAAGGAGCAGGGCATTAAGTTGGATGAAGCTTTTATCTTGGCAATTGTATCAGCTTGCTCACAGTTAGGAACTCTAGACACAGCTGAATCTATGGTTTCCGAATATGTGCCGTCTTACTTGTCCGATTTACGTCTGGTTACGAGTTTAATAGACATGTATGCAAAATGTGGAAGCATTGAAAAGGCCTTGCAAGTGTTTAATAAGGCTTTTGGAAAGGATTTGCTTTGCTACAGCACCATGATCACAGCTTTTGCAAATCATGGAATGGGTCAAGATGCAATCAATCTGTTTGATGAGATGGTAAGGGCAAATATAGAACCCGATGGAGTAACATTTCTTGGGCTCTTGAGTGCTTGTAACCACGGGGGCCTCGTCAAGGAGGGTAGGATGTATTTTAAACAAATGACTGAAAATTTCAATATCCAGCCATCAGAAAGACATTATGCTTGTATGGTTGACCTCCTTGGTCGTGCAGGATGCCTTGATGATGCATATAACCTTATAACTAGTATGCCCATGGAACCCCATTCTGTTGTATGGGGTTCCTTCCTTGCGGCTTGTAGGGTTCACAATAATGTTGAATTGGCTGAAGTTGCAGCAAGTCAATTATTCAAGATTGAACCAGAAAACTCTGGTAATTATGTCCTTTTGTCCAATATATATGCTGCTGCTGGGAGATGGGATGATGTTGCTAAGGTGAGAGCAATGATAAGGGAACGGCGGGTCAGGAAGAACAGAGCTTCTAGCTGGATTGAGTTGGGCTCTGTAGTTCATGAGTTTGTAATGGGAGATATGTCACATATACAATCAGATAGCATTTACTTTATTTTGGATTTGCTTGTGGAAGATATGAAGATATTGGGGTATTCTTTATACTCCAACCAGGAGGTATTGTCCTCACCCTTTAGTCAATTGGTTGCAATGGAGGTTGATTAATTAACATCAACAGGGAAAATGAACATGTTGGTTGTACAATGTCAACCACAATTATGTGCACATATAGCTTCTCAGTGACTGTTAAGCACCATCAACTTGGAGATGCAATTTTCCTGATGGATAGAATATGGCTAGGGCTAAGTAGAATGAGACAGCCTTCACTTCTAATTTGATTTTGATTACTGTTGACAACAGATAATGGGATAGTAAGGTGACCTCTTCATGTATCTTGTTCACAGGTTGTCAAGGAATGCCAAATCTTGAGTTTTTCATGATATCAAGCTTCAAAGAGTTAACAATAAAGATGTTCATCTTATTCAAGAGCATTCATGGTTTCCTCTGTGCTGGTTTCCTTACAACTTTATCATCTTTTTATGATTTGAATGCGTTGAATTTGTGAACAAGAGCCATATGGTGAAGAGRTTTTCTCACCCTTGTAACCACATTTACCTCACAGGTCCAGTTCAATATTTTAGAAGTTGTATGTGATTTACACCTTGAGGCTTACTTGAAGCAACAGTTTGGGAAACTTGAGGAATATCCTTGGAGGCTTAAATCTCCAAGGATTAATGATTAAGAGTTTGAGGGGCACTACCATGCCAAGAGTCACCTGATAGGGTTCTTGTTGCAAATTCATTTTTATTGTTACTACCTTGGCTATAACAGCATTCTTATCCCAACTATCTAGGTTGGCTACATGAATCCTATTCTTCCATTCTTCTTTGTTTAGGGTCATATTTTTTTTGTCATATCATTGAGGATTGTAAATCTCATATTTGTTCTTGTTTATATCTCTGAAATAATGTTCTATTTATTATGCTAACAGCTTATAATCTTATATATATATATTAATTATATGTTTTCGTATAGCTCATTTGAAGCTCTATTTCTTCTTGGGAGTTTCTGTAATGGAAGTATTTTGGAGCTACCAGCCTGCAATGTAAATTCAATGTAATTACCTTTTTACCATGTTTCGAAATAAGAATGTATAGTTCTATTACTTTTTGATCAGTTGATGACTGGACATTGTTTCTTATTAAAGATATAAAGAAATGGAAGGTAGGTTTTAATAATGATATTTTCTTTCTCCATGTGATTTTGTTTTATTTCAATTTTTTGGCATGTGATTGAATCATTAACGAATTTCTTTTCTTAGACATGCTTGTAAGTTATGTGTGCACTTTATAAGYCCTTTTTGCATTGATATTTCATTATTTTTCTAAAGTTAACACCTCATACATCTAGGTTTCTAGTATCTTGCCTTTACCCTGTACAAAACGTAGTCCCAATTAATCATTAAAAGAAGGGTAAATCCCTTAAACATCCCTTGGGTTGTCTGAAAAGGCCTTAAACCTCCTCTCAACTTTGACCTGTTCTTAAACCTCCCTTGACTTTTGGGGATAAAGGGACTTCTTACAGACCCCTTCCATTACTTTTTAAGTGGACATGAACATTAAATGTCTATTATGCCCATACTAATTCCTCCTATCAAGTTAGTAGATTTTTCCTAATTCCAACTTCACCCTTAGACTGTTAATACGAGAAAATATGTTTAGTATTTCATTTTTTTACTATTAAACATGTTTTTGGGTAAAGAGAGGTTTAAGGATGTTTTATTTTTTTGGTTAATGGTTTAAGGGTATTTTACATAAGGGCAAAATTGCCAATATAATTTGTTAAATCCATGACATCAGCAGTTGCCTTTAGATTTCTAATGGTAAAGCACCGGAAGGGGTATATAAGTCCCTTTATCTCCAAAGGTCGGGGGAGGTCTAAGGACAGGTCAAAGTTGAGGGGAGGTTTAAGACCTTTTCAGAAAACCCAGGGGAGGTTTAAGGGATTTACCCTTAAAAGAAAGGTAAACTAGCTAGCAAAATAAAGAAGGTTGTGTCTATTTATTGTTGAGGTTTGGACAATTTAAATTTTAGTAGTTGGAATTTGTTTACATGCATGTTATACTAATTTTGGATGCCATCTATTGACTATCTGATCATTAAGTCACTTTTAGTAGTATGCATAAATAATAGGGAGAATGACTATTCAGCCCACCGTCAGAATCCTTAGCCCCACCATACAATTGTGGTAGGTGCCAGCTTGGAATTGATGCCAATACATGGGCGGGTATTGGTGTTTAGGTTGGGGGTGTTTGACATTTTGAATTGTTGTAGGTTTGTAGTAGAATTCAGAATTCTACAGTGGGGTGCAGTGTACTTTTCTGTAAATAAAAACATGTATTAGTATTTCTCAACCATACTGGACGTTACATGTACTAGAATTCTACAGGAAGGTTGGGCGAAATTTCAAAAAATCTCTTCCATGTGGGAATCACATTCCCTATTTTAGAAAACTGCACTTTCAATGATCAATCTTGAAACTAAACCAGACCAGATCTGAAACCAAAAGGTAGGAGAGGGATATACCTGATACGGAGTAACAGTAACTCCCAACGAAGGTGTTCACACCCAAGGAGAAAACCAAAGACTGCTCCCACTGAAGATGACACAGTGTGAGGTGGAGCAGAATCAACAGGATGACTCTTCAGCAAGAACCAAATTCTTTAGCAAGAATTTGGTGGAGGGCTGGTGAGCACGACTTCAGATTACCTTTTCTACCAAAAGGTAATATCAAAAACCTTTCTTGATCACTCCCACAGATGGAGATCGAACTGACAGGGACGACAAGAGCAGGAAAGAGCAGAAGAGAGGAGCAGTCAAACTGTAGGTTCTTCTCTCTTTGTAATCTATGAACTGAATGTTGTGTTTTGGAAGTTCTCCCTGCTCCTCTATTTATAGCCTTTAGAGAGAGCATCTCCTAATTTCATTAGGAGTTTCCTAATCCAAATCTTGTATTTGGATGTGGACTCTCTTAAGAGATAAGGATAATCCCTTATCTTATCTGCAGATAAAGATCAACCTTCCTAATCAAATTAGGAGTTTCTTGATCCAAATCTTTATTTGGATCTGGACTCTCTGAGTGGATAGGGATAATCCCTTATCCTATCTGCTGATCTAAATCCCAGAACCGCCCCCTTTTAATTAATCTCATTAAGCCAGTTCGAATTGGGCTTTAGGCCCATTAAGTCTATCTGCTCACTAGCCTCTCAATCTGCTGCCCAGTTGGTTATACTTGTATGGCATGGGACCCAAACATTGATCTACACATCAACCACATGGGTTCAGCCCAGCCTCTGTTACAAAGCCTGGCCGAATTCACTGTAGGAGATAGTGAACCCCTAAGTCCATCACCATGGGCTCTTAATGGGCCAAACATTTACACTAAATGGTCATTGGGTCAAGTCACCTTATAAAAACCCAAGGACTGTGGGCGGATACAAGATTAACCCATCAGGTATTACCCTCAATGGTCTTATACTTAACCTCTCAGCCCATAATGATCAAACACTGCCCGACAAGAGAAGACTTCTCCCTTGGCTGCAAGGTTCAGTGCTACATTCTCTACTCACATGGATCCCGGGAATTAAAACCTTTTGCAAACATTTTGAAACATAATATATATTTATATAAATATATTTTACAAAACAAATTTCAACGGTTGAAATCGATTGTCGATAGTTTTGGTTTCCATCAGAGAAAGTGCATCCCTGATCATTCACTTTGTCCAACAAAGTGGTTGATCCTGTCACTATGATCACCCACTCAGATGAATTCTCGAACTGTCCCAACATACCCAGGTTGACCCCCTCTAAGGATCTCACTGATTGGCATATCAAAGACAGCCCAATCCGACACCTAGTGCAGTACCATAGTTGAGTTTAGGGGTCAGGTGTAACATTCCAGTTTTGCCCATCTATCTTCAAGGTCCAGGGCAATATTGGAATTTTGGTCCGGTTAAGGGTTTCAAGAAAACCCACATTGCATGTACCTCAGGTCTCACCCTGACAGCTGAGACAAGCCACTCCAACCAACTTGGTGGCACATTAGTGTCAGCCTTGGCAGGATAAATCTCCCTAGATCTATCCAACAACTGTGAAGATTCTAAACTAACACGAGTCTCATATGTGTCCAGTTTAAGGGTATTACACAGAAACACACTATAATAACATGAATCAAATATGTACTTTATTCATTTACATTAAATGTCATAATGTACATCATTCTGATTGGAGCTAAGGGCATACACTATCTAACACATTTTTCCTATGGCCTGTTTCTATTATTCTCCCAAAAGGTTCCATTACCTTTAGAAACCTCCTAAATTTAATTATCATGTAGCATTCTCACATATGACATTACTATCTATACTGCTATTTTTAGTTGGGTTTTCATACATGAATCTGGGTTCCAAACTGGTCCTAACTTACCCAACTGCCCCAAACCCACTAAAAACTAATTGTGCCCAGCCTAATTGTCCTTTCTCACAGAGAAAAGGGTGCGGTTTGTTGATTGGTTAGCTCTATAATGTCAATGATTTTTATAATTAGATAACCAGTCACATTTGGTATCTAAGCTTCTTGAATTCTGTTTTCTTTTGATTGAGCAATGTTCCCCTCATATTTTCTTCACTATAGATGAAAAAAAGAGTAATGAAATGTAYGGAAAAATGAAATACTGGAAATTCTGTTGTATAGTGAGGAGTTTGATTTAAAAACATCATACTTGAAAAGAACGGAAAAAAGTGTTTTGTGTTTGTTAGGTTTTGGTAAAATTGGGAATGAAAATCTATCATACTTTATAGATAAATATATTTAGTTTATAGAATACTTGCACTTATATATACGTCTATATTATTTATCCAAAATAAAAAAAAATTATTGATATTTTACTGATAAATATATCCATAATATTTGTGTTTTCACCTTTTTTCACAGTTTATTTCTTTTCCACATTTTTTGGATTACAAAAATGCTAAATTCTTTTTTTCTTAAAAGAATTTATTCATGCGCATATATGATATGCATATTAGATGCAAACTTTCTAGCTATGTTGCTTTCCAGAGTTCTAGAACCTCAAGATTCAAATTAGGGAAGCCTACTCACTTTGACCATTATTAGACTTGTGCACAGGAATAACACTAGCATTTCTCTTCATTCAAGCCACCCTCATATCACTAACATTTATTAGACAGACAAGAGCTTTGAAATTGTATCTCATAAATATTATTCATTACTATTACTAAAGTTTTCTGTACCTTCTGATTCATCCATGAATTTTTGGAGAACAAAAAACATATTTTAATGACCCACTATACCTCACAAAGATGAGAATTTAACTCAATTATTCATCAGTCCGATTTGTATTTCACGGGTCTTTCATTTACAGCTCTGGACTGTGCTGACCTTGAAGTCCTCTCAGCATTCAATCTTGATCATAACTCTAAGGGCAAAGTCAAAATTGTCCCTTTGTAAAGTGTGGACTGTGGACTCTGCAGGCACCACAGAACATGTAGGGTCTGGTTGGTTAGACTCATTTTTCATATTACTGTCAAAGAAAGAACCTTTTTCCTGTTAGGGGACAAACGGGGTCGTGCCATCATGTATTGTCTGGTTAGTTAAGCTCAGTCTTCTTAAAAGCCTTCATTTAAGAGCCCTTATACAGGTTAAAATGTTTAAACCTATCAATGAAAATCAAGTTCTGAGAAAAAAAATTCTGTCTGAGTGCTGCTAATTTGCATCTCTGAGTAGTATGAGCTTAGAAGAGCTAGAAGATCTTGAGTAGGTGAGCTATTCATGTCCAACCAATAAGTTTGAGCATCTGTTCATAACTTTCATAGTGACCATTACAGTGCTAAAGATGACACTTCCATGACAATTTACAGTTCTCTCTTTTGCAGCAACAGCACTTATCAACTTTTATGCATTGGTTTGTTGTTTGTTGAGATATTGCATTCTAATTGATACATTCTGAAGGAACTAAAATAACATCTTATTGTTGCTAATAAAAATGACCTTTAGGCCACTTTGCTATGGCTCATGGCAGGAGCTTTCCTTGACCAATATCCGAGTTTGGTTGGATGATCATAGATATACAAATCAATCATATCTCAATGGATAGAAGGTTATGGTGGTGTCAACTATAATGTGAATTGGTTTTGTGGTCAGATTTATTAGATGGTGTCAAGTTTTAGACACAGAAATATTAATTGAAAAATACCATAAATGACAGATCGGCTTTTTGGACTGGAATTAGATTCAGAAGTGACATCTTAGGAGGAACCTACCACAATTGTTCATAACTCGTGACCCTCTCTCTCTACCACATGCATCATGTGAAGTTGTCTGCTACTCTGATTTGCTGTTAGCTGCATTAGTTTCAACTCTTTCTTTCTGGGAACTTGCGCCAAACTCAGCTGGAGAAAATGACTAAAGGTTAAACTGATCTCAGATTATAATCGGCATAAAAAACAGGAAACAAATTAACTGATCTGACGTGAAAACAGTCAGCAAGGAGAAACTCCAGAAGAAATCAGAGATCTGATATGGGTGAAGATCCATTATGTGTTTTACACTGATAACTATGCCTAGTTATTTAGCGAAATGCTCTGTGTTCAATCTTGATTGATCTGAGAATGGTTTTCACCAAGAATCACTCTGATGTCCAAAATGATACTATCTGTGTCGACCCCGTCAGCTCATCTTTTCATCATCACCATAAAACCCTATCCATGGAAGATAAACTGGTAAAATTTGGGATCAGAACCCTAGAGGGCTAGGAGGGAGACAGCATATCCATAAAGCCAGAGTGAATGATCCTACCGCCAACCTAACCATGTTGGGACTTATCTTGCTTAATCAGTCATTAAATATTGAACCATTTGGTTAACTTGGTTGGATTCAGTGGTTCAACTGGTTTGACATTGGCAACCCAGCCAGGTTATCAACCCTAAGTTTGATAAATCTTCCATGTCAACCGCTGGATATTTTTACCATTAAACAGATGAAGAAATAATTGTAATAATATGGTTACTGTAACTCAAACTCCCCTTATTCCGCGTTTATTTTATTTTTCAATTTCAATCCCCACACTATAATGCTTATACATTGTATTCAAGCTTATATCTTTTTCAACAATAACAATAATAGAAACCATAAAAAAAATTAATAATAATAATACAATAACCAAAACTTGGGAGAAAGATGTAAATTCCTTTTTCCTTTATACACAGTTGCATTGATAGCAAGATTCTATCTCTGTATGTAGTCTCGGTCTTGGATGACTATAAGAAAAAACATTACAAAGGCTCAAAAGGAGCCAAAGAGCTTGTTTCACAAATCTAATATAAAAGCAGAAAAGTATAATCTGGCGAGCTTCTTTTTTCCATTGTTTTTCCTGTTTGGCACCTCTTGATCCATCTTCAGAAAACACATCAGAGAGATCCACATCCAAATTTGATTCTTGGAGAACCCAAGCTGAAAGATCTGTTTTCATGGGAGGCATATCTGTTTCTCATCTCCAAATCCTGTGGTTTGTTTTGGCTGGTGGGTTTTATACATAAGATCCCAAACCTCTAGCTTCTGATCCTTTCATGATTCTCAGCCTCTTGCATGAGGAGATGAACATTCTGCAATAAAAACAAATAACTTAAATGAGTTTATTGCTTGACCGTTTGATATTCTGTGTGTGTATGAGAGAGAGAGAGAGAGAACTTACTCCCATGGAACATCTCCAACCAGCATCCAGTCACCATCTTTGTCCTCGTAGGTAGGTGCATAGTCTGATCCATTGTAACCTTCCCTCTCTGAGTATTGACCTGATGTAAAAAAGCAAAACCATGATCAAGAACATGTCTACAGACGTATCATTCATTATCTCTTCATCTTCATCATCATGGATATAAGTCTTACCGATGGTGAATTTGAACATGTTCTCCAAGGCCTTGAGGAGCTCAGGATAGCCTTTGTAGCTCTTGAGGTCAATCTTCCTCAGGTAAGGAGCTCCATCCATGCTTACTTTCACGTAAATTCCAGCAGCCTCGGCCTCCGTCTTCTTTGGTTGGAAGCTGTTCTTCCTGTAGGATCGGATTGGTGGCCACCCAACCACTTGAGCCCTGTCAATTAATTCACATCCCCGTCAGTCCATCGGCTCCTGATATAGATCTAATATGCTTCTAATGTTTTAACAAGAAGGTATCAGAGAGGACTTACTTGGCTGCAGGCGCAGTTTCTGTGTCATCATTTCTGGCATCAGACGTGCCCGAGTTGCTCTTCGACCTGCACTCCTCTGTAGTCTCGGACAAGGTCCTTTTGTTGCTCCTAACACCAGACGGTGTTTGTTTATCAGAATCATCTGTTCCCGGCAGCCCAAGTCTAAGCTCGGTAGCCTTGAGGTTGAGATCGTTCTCGTAAGTCACCGTTCTTTCCATTTTCCGAGCCGATCGTTGAAAAAACAATTGCTTGACTTGAGACAAACCCAAAATACCAACCACCCTGAACTTCCGATTGCTTTTCTCGTCAAACCAACGAATACCACCTTGCTCAAAAGCCGTGTAGAGGGCGTACAAGAGAGATGGAGGTAAGACTCCAGCGATCTTTCCGGTTAAATTTTCCTGTTTTCCGGTTGAGGTCGGTGGAGAAGAACCGTGTTGATGAATGATGGGGGAGGTTGTAAATGCAAAGGTATTATATAGATGGATACCAACAAGGGATGGACAACCTCTGCCTCCATGGACTCAATCTCTATTCCTCTCTCAGAGGCACGAAGGTGGGACATTGACAGCGAGGTTGTCGGTCTCATGAGCTACAGCTCTGAGGTGGCTGTCCCTACAGTGAGGAGACAAGGGTTGGACAAGCACAGCCGCCCATATGGAAGACTAAGCCGGACGGGACGGCCAAGATGCGTCTTAGGGGGCGTCGGAGTGAAACCAGGAGCGTCGGATCACGAGGAGGAGAGAGAAGCAGCCCATGTGGATGGGACCCATATCATGTCGTTGATGGCCATGACATGCCCATGTGCCATGTGAGTTGAAAAAGTCGGAACCTACTGATTTTCTCTCTTTACATTTATGATGAATGGATGGATGAATGAATGAATGAATGGATGGATGAATGAGGGGAAAGCACATGACATGTGGGATGTCATGTTAACATGGTTTCACTTCACCCCATTTCCGCTTACAGCATTTTTTTTCCTCGAAATTCAGGTATTGGGCAGCCAAATTACAGTACATGTATCACAGTTGATATACAGATCCTGTGCAAAAACCATGGAATTGGAATCTTTTGTTCTTGGGACCTGAGATAATATTAATTAATTTATCCTTAAAATATTCTAAGATTAAAACGAATCTATTCGAATCGTCCTTTGATATGCATGGAACCATGTTAATACTAATTTTTTATGAATACCCAACTGCTAAATTTGCTCAGTTCTGTTAATGGGTTACATTGCTTGGTATCTGTCTGCATTTTCTTTTCTTTTCTTTGAATGGACAATGAGCAAGCAACATTTTTTTTTTGTGTGTGTGTTTGTGTGATTAAGAGTGCAACTTGCATCGAGTTGGGTAAGAAATTTGTTAAATTGTGAATGGGTCTGTGTCAATGTAGTTGAAATTCTTCTAATCGCGGGCAGTCTAACTTGCAACCCTACAGGTGTTGCAGCTTTGTCCCCATAAGGATGGTTGTTATATTCTAGATCCAGTTAGTAGAGTTAGTGGGATTAGTAGTAGCAGAGATGCAAAGGGATGTAGTCTTGTTCAGTGACCAACTGAACTGCTGGGTCGTCCACATGACTTAGTGATTAACAATCATTTATTTTGTTAGAAGATATGACTATAAATTGATTGTATTGGAAGAATAGGAAAACAATTTGGGTCAAAAAGCTTTATTGAATAAGTATGTATCATATTAGCTTGTTTATTTATTTATATTTTTTTATCATTCCAATTACCAACATTTACATTCAATCTAATTAACATTTTTAATGGCCTGAACTAGCTCCATCTGAAGATTTATCTTTCAATTGAATTCTGGTGTTTTAGTCTGTAATTTTCTTTTCCAGAGAAAAGAATGGAAGAATATGATTCATGTAATTGGACCCATCTAGATAAGGATGATAGATGATGATAGTAATGACGTTATTATAAGATGTTCTTTCTTGTGACAGGGTCGGAGTTGGAGAAAAATAAGGCATGAGATGAGATCAGTCAAATTTGATGTAAACCCAAACCACGTGTGTTTGGATGTACGTGCAGGTGAATACAGATATATGTTGTTTGAAGGGAAAGGAGGTAGCGTTGGGGTAAATGCAGGTCAGGTCAGGTCAGGTGGTCTTGATTCACCGGACTGACTTGGGAGTTGAGTTGGGACCATGCCGATTACTGAATCGTTTGAACTTTATAAGGTTTAAAGGGGTATTTTGGCAAACGCATGATAGACATGGAAAAGTAAAGGCGTTACGCGTGTAGCTCAATTATTGGAGACGTGTGAGGGCATTCTCGTCTATAGCCGTACTCCTCGCCCGTCAGCGCTGTCATGCTCTGTCCGGATGAAACGATGGTGTGGTGTATGTGTGTGTGGAGACAAAAATCTTGGCAGACTAAAATCATGAATCATGAGGCCCGTGCACTGTGCACAACAGATGGACCGGTCTACCCTCTATCTCTGTGTGTGTACCGCCACAGGCTGTCTGGCTGATGATGGGATGGACAGTGCATCCAAGCCATTCGGATGAGACACAACTATAGACTTCTATTTAGCTTTTTTACCTAGGTCGATTTGAGAAAGTCAAACAATTGATGTTGGACCTGTTCAACCGTCGGATTGGTATCAGATGGATTATGCCCAAGGGGGCATATATAGCACAGACCCGGACCCTGGCTCAGCCTGCATTCCGGACCAGACTGGGCCGGGCTTCTGGTCTGGTCTTGATCCTTCTTCAACCTTGGGTGTGAATGAATGATTCATTCCTTCTGAACCAGAATTGACAGGCTTGGATCAACTCGAATGGTTGAACCGGTTACTCAAGGATGAAGGATCTTTCTATGTATCAGTTATTTGATGGTTCTCACAGTCAAGACAATCTAATAACCCGCTAGCTTGATCAGTAAATGAACGATTCCATGACCCAGCGAGCAATCCAGTTCTGAAAGACTTTATAGGACTTTAGCTCAGTGTTGTCAGAATCAGAATGGACCGGATGGTTGAACTGGTGCCGGTCCTGGTTAACGGTTAAAACTGTGACTCAATAAGCTTTTTGGTTTTTTATCCGGTCCGACTCTAGGCCAAGACAAATGGCTACTGTTGCAAAGCGGGAGGTTTGGTAATTAAGGCTCCATTGGATAAACTTCCGCTTAGCTTCGGCCCGAACCCAGAAGGCCCATAATACTTCAACCCACAAAGCACAAATATAGAGTTTTTGTAATTTGGGCTTTGAAAGTACAAATTCTGAAGCCTATCCAAACAGAACCTAATTCTAGCTAAACTCTGGAGTTTCTAGATGATGGTTATTCCTAATTCAGCCACTTGGAGGGACCATCTGAATTGGCCATGTGTTCACTTCTCCAATCCATACTGAAGTGGTTTGAAGGTTAAGGGAAACGTGGGCTCTATACTCCTACCACCTCTGCCTTTATGTCTGAAGATCATGTTGCAGGTGGAACTGGCTTGATTAACTAAGTTTCTTAATAAATTTCTCAGATAATTCCATCAACATGCTTTCTTTTTTTTTTTTTTTAATTTTCTTATATTATAATTACAATTTGCTTATTAATTATCAGATAATAAAATGGGGATATGACCTAACTCTCATTCATTATTATTATTATTATTATTTTTTTTTTGCTGTTGAACCAATTAGCTTCCCCCAAAACTTGGTAAACATACCCAACTCTTCTTAATTCTTCCTTTATTATAAATCCACCACCTCCTTTTTTTGTACCTTAATTTAGATTAGAGTCACAAGGAAAACCACCTACTCTCCTTGGTCCTTTAGTGTTTTTTATATTTTAATCCCATAATTCAAGCTTAATTAATTTGTGATTAAATGATTGCTTTGATAAAGAAACAAAGATTCTTCAAGTTTTTCTTATTTCCAAATCCACTTTCTCCCATTCTTTTTTCTATAAAATATGAAGTGGATTAAAGAAAAATCAAGTGGTGAGGAGGAATCTTTAGGGCTTGTTTGCATTTATTTATAAAATCTTTTAGTCTTGACATATATATACATACATAGAGCTAACTTCTTAACATGTTCAATTTACTTTTGTTTACAAAGTTGATGACTTGATGTGATCAGTGAAGTAATAAACTACAGGCTAAGAGGCGTATACATATCAAGATCATGATTGAAAGATCTTATCTTTACATATTAAATGCAACCGACCAGTTTTGTTTAGCTCTCTAATGCTTCTTTGATATTCCCATCAATCTTATTAATGAACTTCACAATGTTGTTCAACAAACAGAAAATTCTCAGGGTGGTCCATCCATGCCAAGATCTAGCTATAACCGTATCAATCAATTATTCGAAGCAGACTAAAGGAATATTGGGTGGTCAGAATTTCACTGAGCTGGCAAATATTCATCAAGTAGAGTGGACCACTAAATCTTCACTACCCCAAATAGTCTTCCAAGTTGAAGTACCTAGTTTAGGATCTCAACTATTCTATGTATAGAGTACTTGCACTGGTTTCAGGGGCACAGATGAATAATTAAGAGGGTGTTTGACAATATGGTTGGTTTTGTTTTCTCGATCGAGTATCCTCTAAAACAATGTGGTTTCTTTAGGCTGTGTTTGGTTTAATAGAAAATCACAAAGTCAATTAACAACTTTTGTGAAATTCTTGATGAAATGCTTCCCTCAACTCTCTGTTAATTTCTCTATTTCTCTTTTGAACCAAAAAAAAAAAAAAACATCCCAGGAAGAGTTTGACAAAAGCTTTAATGCTAGCTGACGATCGACCTAACACAACCCTCCTTCTTTATCTACGCTTAGGCTTGGGACCAAGAAAGATACTAAGACAAGCTCACACTAGCAAATATAGTTTCGGATTAATTAACTCTTTACATTACCGACATTTGATTCGTTAATATTGGGTATCGAAGACAATGATACATAACAAATCATCAGCAATTGGTGCTGCTTCAGCTCAATTTGCTTATTACATCTGTATTTATCAACCCTCAAGAACCCAGTTGGCTGTGACATAACTAATCGGAGAAGTTCCAGCCAATACTCCAATTGGCATGGATGGTGCGGAGTTTATTGACCTCCTGCTAGTCCCTTTGCCATAAATTAAACTTTGGTTTCATGGAGGACTTAAATCGACTGTGACTTGTGTTCTCTGGCCTTAAGACTGCAGTTAATGCAAGAAGAAAATGTAATTAATAATTTATAACCTTCTCAAAATTTAGAAGTAATTAGCTAGGCTTAGGCATCATACATGAATAATCATGTCCCCCCCCGGTTAATTGACGACAGAGATAAGCATGAAATTAAATTCAGCCAAGTAACCTAATGATCCATCTAGTTGAACCACTGAACCTTTTGATTGATCACTAGGTGGATTCAGATTGATTATAGGATTTCAAATATGATTTGAATTTAAAGTTTCAATAATCGGATCATATATATATTAAAATGGTGGAAAAAATACAAGTCAATGG